CCGGGTAAGTACCTTGGTCTCCCACTAGGTGCCAAATGTTATTCTTCTGCTTTATGGGATCCAGTAATTGAAAGAGTTGGGAAAAAATTGGCCTCCTCGAAGGTAAAATATCTGTCTATAGGAGGGAGAGTGACCCTTATCAAGAGTACCCTTGCCAACCTCCCTACCTACTTCATGTCYATGTTTCCTATGCCATCTAAAATTGCAAAGAAACTTGAGAAGATGCAGAGAGATTTTCTCTGGAGAGGGTGGGAAGAAGAGAAGAAGATGCACCTTGTGAATTGGGATCAAGTTTGTCTTTCTAAGGCAGAGGGTGGTTTAGGTCTTAGAAGATTAAAGGTGGTTAATTCGGCTTTATTGAGTAAATGGTGTTGGAGATTTGCTGCAGAAAGATCTTCTTGGTGGAGGTCCCTAATTGCAACAAAATTTGGTGTGGATGGGGGTAATTGGAAGTCTCAGGATCCATACCCAACATGGGGTTGTTCGGTTTGGAAAGGGATTCTAAAATCTCTTCCTGTGATGTATGAGGGAGTGGGGTTTAAGTTGGGAAGTGGGAATAGGCTGAATTTCTGGAAAGATCCTTGGTGCATGGACAGATCTTTAGCTGAGGCATTTCCCCTTCTGTTTCAATGTACAGTTAATCAAGAAATATCAGTGGCAGAGTCTTATGTGATTTCTAACAACTCAGTGATCTGGAATCCTCAGTTCAGAAGAGAGTTATTTGATTGGGAAATAGAAGGTGTGATGCAACTTCTGCAGATTTTACAGGAGCAGACGATAGACATTGCAGGTGAAGATGAGTGGAGCTGGTCCTGGAGTAAGGATGGCTGTTTCTCAGTCAAATCCCTTACTTTGAAGCTTAGTAATACGGGGGTTACTGAGTTCCCCTACCAGCAAGTATGGAAGTCTTGTGCTCCCTCGAAGTCTATATTCCTTGTATGGACTATGGTGCTGAACAAATATCTCTCAAGACTCAACCTGGACAGAAGGGGTATTCAGCTCCCTTCTCTGATGTGTGGGTTGTGTGGCTTATTGCCTGAGTCCACAGACTATCTGTGCTTACATTGTCCTATTTCTTCGAGAGTCTGGTACCATTTCATAGGTGCGGCTGGTCCTAATTTGGTCATGCCAAATTCAGTGAAAGACCTGCCGCTTTGCTGGAATCTCCAAGGAATAGAAGAATCTTCAGCAACAAAGCTAAGAGCACTGAGGAGATAGTGCAGCAGGCGGTCAGCAAGCTGATTTCGTGGGTGTCTGGTACACCTGATTTTAAAGAGCTGAATATTCCTGAATTATTTAGGTCTATATCCATTTGGGATTTGTAGCATGTCTTGTAATCTGAGCAGCTGCTTGTGGCTTGCTCTTCTATTGTACTGAGTTCTTTCTGATTCAATAAATTTATTACTTTACCTTTCAAGAAAAAAAAATAGTAAGCTTCCCAGCAAAAAACAGCAATTTTGTGGGGGGAGGGGGAATAGGTCTAGTCCAGACTTTTTAAACTAGGAACACCCGGGGAATAGAGATAGAAGAGAGGGATTTGAAGAAAGATGCACTAGTAAAGGTACCTGTCGGGACAGGGGGTCCAAATTCTTATGTCAGGTTTGAGGGGATCTAAGAAAACAGACTCAAATGATAGTAAAAAATCAGAAACACAAGCAAACTCATCATCCTGTAACCCTCTACGAAAACCAAAATCCTAATTTAACGACAATGGAAGAACCGGAGAAGAAAGAAACTTAGAGATCAGCTCTTTTTATAACAGGAAATTGAGTAAAGAGAGGGAAAGAGACCTTTAAGAGGTTGGTTGCCCGCCTAAATATCTTCCCAAAAGAGAGCATTATTTCCAGAGCTGACATCATATCGTACCAATCTGAGGAATCGGGGAGGATACTATGTATGACCTCCTGGAAAGCCATCTTTCTTTTGGAGGAAAAGTTACTTTATTGCAGAGTGTACTGTCTTCTCTACCTATTTATTTGCTACTGCTATACCCAATTCTAGCGGGAGTCGCAAAGGTATTATAAAAGAAAATCATTTTTTTTTTTTTTATGGGGAGGTCGGAAGGATGAGAAGAAATACAACTTGGTAAGTTGGAAAAAAAGTATGAAATTCTAAATTTCAAGGGGGATTGGGTGTACAGAGAGTGAAGGATGTTAACACAGCCCTTTTGGGAAAGTGGTTTTGGAGGTTTGGTGAGAGCCAAGGTGGCTTATGGAAAAGAGTGGTAATTGCTAAATATGGACAGAGCCTTGCGGGATGGTAGCCATGGGTATCTAATCAGTCTTACAGGTGCTCTGTTTGGAGGGGCATAAGGAAAGCCTTTGATCCTTTCTTTAAGGGAGTAAGGTTCAAGATGGAGATGGCCACCGGGTAAAATTCTGGAGGGACTCTTGGTGTGACGGCCAACCTTTGAAACAATCTTCCCCTATCCTGTTTGAGACTTTGAGTTGGTGCTGGACAAAGAAGCTTTGATGGGGACTACCTACAGGTACAGAATGGGAATGTGGTTTGGAATACCCTTAATTCAGAAGAAATCTAAATTAAGGGTGGAAATGCTTCTTATATAGCACTCAGGTGGATGGAGATAGGGAGCAATGACAAAAGGATGTTGGAGTGGGATAATTTTGGAATTTTTACTGTCATGTCTTTGTATAATTACTTTTCCAGATCAGAGGATCAGGCCATTCCAGTAAACATTATTTGGTGTAAGAATGTCCCTTCAACGGTAGCCATGTTATGGACTATTTGGGAAGAAAGAAATGGAAGGATCTTCAATGAAAAAAGTGGAACAGAGGTGGAAATCATAGAAGCAGTAAAGTTAAAAGCTACTACTGGGTGAAAACTTTGGAACACTTCCAAGTATTCTCACTGAATGAGATTCTGAGATCTTGGAAGGAAGTGGCCTTATCATTATCAGCCCAAGGAAAGAAAAGAATATTTATGGATTGGAGACCCCCAGCAACTAACTTTGTGAAGCTTAATTTGGATGGAAGTTTGCTTGGTAACCAGGATGTGGCTGGGTTAGGAGGTGTCTTTAGAGATTCAGAAGGAAAGGTGCTAGCTTTGTATTCAGGGCCTCCATAAAATGGTGATGTACTGACAGCCGAATTATTTGGACTTCTATATGGACTAAAATTTGCCAAGCGTTTTGGGTTCCTTAATTTGGAAGTGGAAGGGGACTCTCGGGTGGTCATCTCTTGGACAAGATGTAGCACCCAAATCCCTTGGATCTATAGGCATACAATTAGGTAGATTGAGAGCATTGCAAGAGAGTTGAATGTTACCTTTAAATGGATGAGAAGAGCAGCAAATGGGATGGAAAATAGTCTAGCTAAACAAGGGGCTGTGAGACATCAAATGTTTTGGGCAAAGCTGTAAAGTTGTGATCGGGGGGAAGAACCTTCCCACGCTGTTGTAATCTTCTTAATTGGCTCTAATAAAATATTCCTTTATTGATAAAAAAAGAGTAGCTTTCTTTGTGTGGACCACCTATTTAAACAGAATTTTAACCAGGGATAACTTGACCAGGAGGGTCATGCATCTGGAGTCCAGTAATTGTGTCTTATGTAATGGATGTGTTGAATCAGTCAACCATCTGATGTTACATTGTAAATTTTCCCATGAGGTTTGGTCAAGGATATGGAAATTATTTGCAAGGTGCCAACCAGCTGGTTGGTAAGGTCTTCTGCTGGTCTTAGCGGAGACATGGGATCAAATCCCTCTCCCGCCTGTGCCTGGGTTGGGGGATTGGCTACCCCCCCGTTGTGTAGCTCTCCAAAAGGTATCAAAAAAGGATATGGGAATTATTCGAGGTGAATAATTGCATTCCAGAATTGGTGGTGGATTTTATACAAAGTTGGAGAGTTGAAGACCTAACTAAGAGGGAGAAGGTGGTGAGGAATATTGCTCTTGCAGCAGTTTTTTGGTGTGTGTGGCAGGGGAGAAACACAAGGATTTTCAAAAACAAAAGCAGCTCGGCAGACACAGTTTGCTAGAAAATCTTGGGGAAATTGATTTCTTGGCTGGCTATGAACAAACTATTTAGGGATAAAAATTTCATTTCCTTTTTTGTATATTAAAATCTGTTTGTAAAGCAGAATGTGGGGTTATAGGATTGTTTGGGCATCGTCTATGTATATGCACAATGGCTTGTTGTAGATGTTTTTTGTTCTTGTTAGTGAACTTATACTTTACCTTTTCTCAAAAAAAAGTACAGCCTTCCAAGGTGTTGTAAGAATCGCTTGTTGAGATACCCCAACATCCCAACCATTCTCCGAACAGCCACGAATGCTAGCCACCACCTCGTGCCACAACCTCTCTCTCTCTCTCTCCAAAGGTTATTTCCACAACCACTTCCCTAGTACAACTTCATTCTTATGAGCTAGGTTCCCTAACCCCAAGCCCCCATCTTGACATCTTCCTTACTTTTGCTGACTACCTCCCACCTAATCAAATGATCCTTTTTTGCTTCCCTCATTTCCCACAGAAAGTCCCTCATCACCTTTTCTAACTTCTTAGCCTCCCTAGGGGGAATCCTGAAGACTGAAAGGAAATATTGGAAGGTTGGCAAGTGTAGCCCTAATCAAAGTCACTTACCTCTAAGGAGATGTAATTCTTTTTCCAAGCCCCCAATCTCTTTTCAAAATTTTCCACAACTAGATATTAGAAGCGGCTCTCCTTAGGGTTAGCACCCAAGGGAAGACCCAAATAAGTCAAGGGTCAAGAGGAAGTGGAACAATCTAAACAAACTGCAATAGCCTCTATCTCCCGAGCCTCCAAGTTGATTCCAACCAGACAACTTTTTTCAAAATTGATTTTCAAATTGGAGGCATTCTCAAAGGTGTTTATTAGTGAGTGTAAGATCCCTGATGCATGTATCACCTCATTTTCATTAATAAATAAAGTTTGACAGTTACTATAAAATATGTCCTTCAAAGTGGTTTTTGGATACAATGTCTATTTGGATTTAAAAGTTTTATTTTCATTTGTTTTTCATTTAGCTGGAGAAAGGTGTGGATGGCCTATTTGATAGCTTTGCAAGGCTGGATTCTCGCATCTCAAGTGTTGGACAGACTGCTGCAAAAATCGGAGATCATCTTCAGGTAGAGTATCTGCCCGTTTCTTTAATATGCTTTATTACCAATCTCTTCTTGTTCCATTTCTTTGCTTACATTTAAGGGTCAATGTTTTACTTGCAAAAAATAATATTTCTAGTTACATGTTATTGATAAAAAAATCTAGTTATATGATTGAAATAGGATTTGTATGACATCTGTTTTTTTTGATAAATGCAATTCTTGTTTGTCAGAGTGCGGATTCTCAGAGAGAAACTGCTAGTCAAACAATAGAGCTCATAAAGGTAAACCTTCATAAGCATTGCCAAAATTTTCCCTATTGCAGTAATTTTTGACTTTTTTTTGTCCATTGCATAATTAATTTATTAACACCAAGCTGCTATTTAAATTCTTGCAGTACATGATGGAGTTCAATAGCAGCCCAGGAGATCTGATGGAACTTTCAGCTCTTTTTTCTGATGATAGTCGTGTTGCTGAAGCTGCTTCAGTTGCACAAAAATTGAGTAAGTCATTGTTGATTTTCAAAATGCCAACTTTTGTCTTTCGGTTGTTTTGCAAAACCTGATGGTTGATGCTTCTATGATGTAGACTTGTTGTGTGTGTGTGTGTCCACCCCTCCTTTGAAGCAATGGATAATGCACATAGTATTTGAAAGTTTTCTTTTTTTTGATAAATTACATAGCATTTGAAAGTTATGGATAAGTTTACCTTGTTTTCTCAGATTGGCAGATAATATTGACAGTTTATTACGAGAGAAAAATAAAAGAAGAGCCATAGAATATCGTTTTCTATTTCCTTTAGATTGCAATAGTATTAATTTTACTTAAAGTAGTGAATCATGCTAGCAATGCTAAGATTGTAGACTTGTAGTAATTTTTTATGCTATAATGAATGAATTGATTTTGTGATGTCATTGAAGTTTAGGTCCCCTTGTTTTGCTTCATTTAATAAAATTGATGTGGTTTTCAGTAAAAAGAAACATTTCGAGTTATTCAACAAAATAGAGCAGGCTACGATGGTTTCTAAATACTTTATATGTTTTATTGATCCAAAAAAGTAAATTTGTTTCTATGGATTTCCTTGGTAGGTGCCATTTTCCCCTTGTTTGTCAAAGAATGAGGAGTAATGATGAATTATCCTGTTGTGTTATACCATTTTAGGGGCATTTGCTGAGGAAGATATTGGAAGACATGGCATTGCTGTACCATCAGTGATGGGAAATGCAACTGCAAGCAGAGGTTTAGAAGTTGCGGTTGCAAATCTTCAAGACTACTGCAATGGTGGGCTTGTTACTTATCTGGTATTTCTTTTGTGTTATTGTTCTTTAATTAGTGACATAAATGAGTTGTCTTTATGTCTTGGTTCCTTCAGAGCTGGAGAATAGATTGTTGGCTCGATTTGATGCAGCTTCACATAGGAGAGAATTATCAACAATGGCAGAATGTGCTAAAATTTTATCTCAGGTAATTCAGAGGTTGAAGGTTAAATGATGATTTTATCTTCTTTTTTTATATATATTTAGGTCAACCTTCAACTTTTGAATCATTGCCTTTTTTTTTTGATTGGATTAGAAAGAGTATAGGTATATGAACTGCCAACAACCCCAAAATGTGTCTGACAGTAACCAGATCCTAATCCCAAATACTTATTACTCAGTTAAGAATGCATAAATCCCCTCCGCCCTGTATCTACAAACATCGGATAAGAACCACCCGGTGCCCCTCCCCTCTTGAATAGCTGGTTTCTGTTAACCCCATCCTTTGCCAAGGTATCAGCAAAGCTTACTGCTGATCTTTAAGTCCAAGAATGTGTTATACTTGGTTCCCTTGAATTAGCTTTTATCTCCCTGCGCTTCTATAGTGCCAACTGCCAAGTTCCCATACTGTCAATTTCATCCACCTGACTGCCACTTCCAAGTCTCCCTCCACTATCAATGTTGTCATATTTAATTGCCTTTACAATTTAATTCCTTGTGGGATTACTACAAACTCTGATCTCATAGAGTTTCCAAAGATATCCCTGTATGAATCACATATAGGACTAATGAATTAATATCTATAACTTGTTAGTGCACTTGAGTGTTACCAAGGTGACTGGCTAGATGTTATGGGTTCCCATTGCCTAGGTGATCATCTAGGCAAGCTGCATATTATAAATATTTTGAGGGTAAAAGATGTTGCATCTGGTTAAAAAGGAGATCCATGTATGAAACATGTGATAGGAATAGGGCTATGAAATCTGTAACTCATTGTTTTTTTTGAAACAGGTAAAGTAAGAATTTCATTAAGACAAAACATGTACAACAAGGAGCTGTACGCAGGGATTTACAAAAACTGCACCAGCAGAGCTAGACCCCCAAACCCTGATTTACAAAAAGATTCCCAACTGCAAAAAAGGAATTAAAATTTCTGTCCTTGAAAACATTGTTTACTGCTAACCAGGAAAACATTTTTTCTAACTTTCTGAAATACTGTATCTGAGGAGCTGTGTTGGTTCTTGAAAATCCTTGTGTTCCTCTCCTGCCATATACACCAGAACACCGCAGCAGGAGTCAGATTCCAAGCCAATTTGCCCTATTTAGTTAGATCTTTGACTCTCCAACTCTTCACAAAATCTGCCACTGATTCAGGTCAGCAACTGTTCACCTCATATAAATTCTTGACTTTGTTCCAGACCTCACAGGAGAAAACACAGTGGAGTAGCAGGTGGTTTACTGACTCGGTCTGATTCTGACAAAGCACACAGACAGTTGTGTTTAACAGCATACCCTTCTTCTCCAGATTGTCCCTAGTTAAAATCCTGTTCAAGTAGGCTGTCCATACAAAAAATGCCACCTTTGTGGGCACACCCTTACACCATACAGACTTAACTGGGATTGGCTCATCCTCTGATCTGGAAAAATAGTTGTAAAAGGACCTAACTGAGAATTCCCTGACTTCTCTCACTTCCAAACTCTTCTATCCTCTCTCGCTAATTCCACTGGATGCTATACAACAAATGCAGCAATTCCACTAGAGACTCCACTTCCAAACTCTCTATCCAGATCTGCAGCTTGCTCCTCTGAGAGGCCATCAAACTCCAGGCCATCAAGTTTTGTCCTGTTAACCCATTCTTCCTTGTAAAGGTTCTCATAAAACTCCACAATATGGCTTTTCATTCTGTCTACCTCCTCCACCAACACACCATTCACAACCAACTTTTTCAGCATACTTTCTCTTCTCCTAGCACTAGCTAATTTGTGAAAAAACTTGTGTTGTTATCACCCTTTTTTAACCAGAAACATTTCGAATGCTGCCTCCATTTTGTTTCCTCTTGATAGACTGTTCTGTCGAAATCCAGCTTGGCTCCTTGTCTCTTCCTTTTTTCTTCCTGAGTTAACTGCCTCTCCTCTTCAGCTCTGTTGATTTCAACTATTGTATCTAGACAAATTTTCAGTTTCTGTTCCACCCCTTTGAAAGAGTCCTTCTTCCAGATTTTAATTTGCTCCTTTAAGGCCTTCAACTTCTTGCCAAACACATGACTAGCTGTTCATTCCACAGAAACACCTTCCCACCAACTTCTCAGCTGCTCCACAAAACCTTCCTATTTAAGCCACAAGTTTTCAAATCTGAAAAGCACTGGCTTGAATTGAATGCCACCGCAATCCAGTCAAATGGGAATATGATCCGATAACGGTCTAGGAAGGGCCTCTTGGGACAGATTAGGGAACTTCTCCTCCCATTCAGTAGACACCACAAAGCGGTCTAACTTCACAAGGGTTGCATCCTCCTGATTGTTTGTCCAAGTGAATTTGGCTCCAATCAAAGGAAGATCCACTAACTCCCATCTCTCCATGAATCTGGCAAAACCCCTCATGCCTCTCCTGGACCTCACTTCCCCTTTTTTCTCATGCTCAAAACGAGTAGTGTTAAAATCCCCTCCTACCACCCAAGGCATATTCCACTCTTCTCTTACTTCATCAAGTTCCTGCCAGAAAAAAATCCCTCAGGGAGTTCACATTTGGATCATATACTGTAGTTAAAACAAAATCCCAACCATCTTCGAGCAACTGGAACCAAATCGAAATAGAAAAAGACCCACCTTCCTACCCTTCACTTCTACCACATTTGAATCCTAGATAACTACTATCCCACATGCAGTCCCCACTGCTGGCAAAGCTTCCCAATCACAATCACGTTCCCCCCAAACACTTCTTATTTTCTGGGCATCCAAAGTCTCCATTTTGGTTTCTTGGAGACAAAGGATGTCCGCTTTCCACTTGCTTATATGTGCCCCTGCCACCACCGTTCTCTTGCCTGAGTTCAGACCTTTGATATTCCAAGAGACGATCTTCATTTGAAAGAAGAGACAGATTGGTTTGGTGGTCCATTGCAAGATCACAATGAGAATCTTGCAAAATTGCGGCAGGTGGGATCGGTTAAGGATTACCATATGGAGTTTGAAAAACTAGCCGTGTGAGTCTAAGGGTGGACGACAAAGGTGCTAGTGGGAAGCTTCGTTGGTAGCTTGAAGGAAGAACTACGGCTAGAAGTAAAGGTGACGCGACCTCCTTCGGTCATAAACGTGACAACACTAGCAAGGCTGTATGAAGACAAGTTCGCTCGAGTAAGAAGGGTACATCGGCCATGGGGTTCTGTAACCAGATCGGCAACACTGGACAAGGAGGAAGGAATACTGGGTTCAGGCCCATTTGGTCCCTTCAAACGACTGACCTGGGCCGAAATGCAAGCCCACAGAGACAAAGGCCTCTGCTACAACTATGAAGAAAAATTTGGGCCGGGCCATTGGTGCAAGAAACAACAAGCATATCTCTACAAGCCCTTACGGGACTTGTGGCCCCGCAAACAATGAGAGTAGCTGGGTTAATCTAAGGGCGCCACATGTCAATCCTCATAGACAGTGGTAGTTCCCTTAACTTCATAACTCAAGTTTTGGTGGATAAAATGGGATTTCCGGTTCAACCAACAACGGCTTTTACGTACATGTGGCCAACGGTAATAGCCTATCTTGCAATAGTATATGTGTGGGCTTACCACTAAAGGTTTAGGGTCACCAGTTTTCGGTGGACCTATATCCCCTTCATCTTAGTGGAGCGGCCATGGTGCTAGGCATTTAGTGGTTAAGACAATTAGCTCCCGTGATCTGTGACTGGGCTCGTCTCACCATGGACTTCACGTCGTGGAACTCTACAGTCCATCTACAAGGGCAAACATGCAAGGGTCCAAGGCCCACCAGTCTTGCAACATTAACAAAGCAAATGGGAGATCCAGATCAACCCATATTCCTGCACATGGACTCAAATTCGACCAGCCCATCCTTAGCTAACAACAGCTCAAATGGGCTTGGAGACTACCACAACCGCCTACAACAACTCCTCCAGCAATATGGCAGCATGTTCAAAGAACCCCAAGAGCTTCCACCACCCCGAGAGCATAACCATTGCATTCCTCTAATGCCAGGAGCCGCCCCAACCAATGTAAGACCTTACCGATACCCTTATTTTCAAAAATTTGAAATCGAGAAGCAAGTTCAAGATATGCTTGAGAAGGGAATAATACAGCCCACCCATAGCCCATTCTCCTTGCCGGTATTATTAGTCAAAAAGAAGGATGGGACTTGGCGATTCTGTATTGATTATAGGGTCCTTAACAATATCACCATTAAGGACTGATTCCCAATACCGGTCATTGATGAATTGCTTGATGAACTTAGTCGGGCCACCATATTCTCAAAATTAGATTTACAAGCTGAGTATCACTAGATAAGGATACATAGGGAGGATGCTCACAAAACAACTTTCAGGACACATGATGGCCACTACGAGTTCTTGGTCATGCCATTTGGGTTGACCAACACTCCAACAACATTTCAAGCCCTAATGAACGACATATTCTAGCCTTATTTACGTAAGTTCATTATTGTTTTCTTTGACGACATATTGGTTTATAGCCCGAACTGGGAGGAACTTTGAACCATCTACAGGTCACCCTCACAACACTTAAGGCCCATTAGTTGTTCACTAAAGGGTCCAAGTGCTCCTTTGGACAAACCCAAGTATATTACCTGGGACATGTTGTAGAAAATGGAACTGTAGCAGCAGACCTGGATAAAATCTCTAGTATATTGGGCTGGCCACAACCCAAAAATGTGAAAGAATTGAGGACCTTCTTGGGACTGACAGGTTATTATTGCTGCTTCACCAAAGGCTACGGCCTAATAGCTGCCCCTTTGACCCAATTACTGAAACGAGATGCCTTTCACTGGTCAGCCTAGGCCCAACAAGCTTTTGAGAAGTTGAGACATACTGTTTTGACACCTCCAACATTAGCACTGCCCAATTTCACAAAAGACTTCACCATTGAATGTGATGCCTCCGGTCAAGGTGTTGGAGCTCTCCTCATCAAGAAGGCCGACCACTAGCCTTTTTCAGCAAGGCCTTGACATCACAAAAGTGGACCAAATCAGTTTATGAATAAGAATTAATAGCAGTGCAGCATTGGCGATCCTACTTGCTCGGTGGACGATTCATAATTCGGACCGATCATCAAACTTTGAAATTCTTGTTAGAACAAGCAGTCCTATCACTGGAACAACAACGGTGGATGTCCAAATTATTGGGGTATGACTACACAATTGAGTACAAAGCGGGGGCTGCTAACTGGGTGGCTGACACCCTCTCACGGCACCCACAATCATTTCAGCTACTCGTATCATCCCCAACATCTCCACTCATGGATCAGCTTTGAAAGGAAGCCCACTCCCATATAGAGCTACAGCAATTAAAGGCCTAAGTAGTGGCAAATCCATCACAGCACCCCGGGTGTACCGTCAAGGATGATCTACTCTTCTTCAAGGGACGCCTGGAAATCCCAGCAGATTCTGCACATCTCAGGAAGCTCCTTGAGTTATTCCATGCCTCACCCACAGGTGGTCACTCTGGCATTCTACGGACGCAAAAACGCATCGCCACACAATTCCATTGGAAAGGCATGCATATCTCCATTCAAAACTTCATAGCCAAGTGTACAGTATGTCAACAAAATAAGACAGCTACTACAACACCAGCAGGCCTCTGTCAACGACTCCCAATCCCAACCCAAGTTTGGGATGATATATCAATGGATTTCATCACGGGATTGCCCGTCTCTGCCGGTAAAACGGTTATTCTTGTGGTGGTTGATAGATTGACAAAATACAGTCACTTTCTACCTCTATCACACCCATTTACAGCAGTCACAGTTGCTGAATTGTTCTTCTGGGAAATTGTGTGCCTTCATGGGCTCCCCAACTCAATTGTATCCGACAGGGACCCTATTTTTATGAGCCATTTCTGGGCTGAATTTTTTCGTCTGCATGGGGTTAAACTCTTCAAATCAACCAGCTACCACCCCCAATCTGATGGACAGACAGAGGCGGGTTAACAAGAGTCTTGAAACATATCTGAGATGCTTCGCGGGAGATCGACCAAGACAATGGGTGAAGTGGATCCACTGGGCTGAGTGGTGGTACAACACCACTTTCCATAGCGCTGCTGGGATGACGCCCTTCAAAGTTCTATATGATCGGGACCCTCCCTCTCTACTTCCTTATGAAAAAGGGACCACTACAGTAGCAGCCTTAGAAGAACAATTGATACAGTGAGATGAGGTGTTGAAGGAGCTGAGGAATCATCTCTTGCAAGCACAACAATGGATGAAGCGCACTTATGATAAACATCATAGGAATGTCCAATATGAAGTCGGTGATTGGGTGTTTCTCAAATTACATCCCTTCAGACAGATTTCAGTAGCAAGCCAACAGTGGAACAAACTCAGTCCATGCTATTTTGGACCATTTAAAATCCTTGAGAGGATAGGGTTTGTGGCATACAAACTGGACCTCCCTGCAACATCAAGGTTACACCCTGTATTTCATATCTCTTTACTGAAGAAAGGGCAGAAGCCAGGAGTCATTACAAGTGCTACTCTTCCCACATTTTCAGATGAAGTGCAGACTGAGCCAGCCCGCATCATTGATTTCAGATGGGTGCGACGTGGCGGAAGAGTCATTCCAGAAGCACTAGTTGTTTGGTCTAAACTTCTAGAAGAGGATGCAACCTGGGAATCTTACTTGGATCTGCAATTCCCACATTAGACCTTGAGGGCAAGGTCTCTCTAAAGGAAGGAGGGATTGTTAAGACTGCTGAAACAGAACAACATAGGACTGTTAGTCAGTTTTACAAGAGAAGGCCATGCCAGCACAACAGCTCAGCTAACTGGCCGTCCACTTGCAGCGGTTTTAACAGAAAGAAATTAAAGAATGTAAAAAAAAGGAGCTCTGTAAAACAGTAAAAATAGTTAGAAACAGGGGAAATGAAAGCAAGGTTTAAAATGTCAATGTCGATGGAAATGTCGCTTACCAAAATATAGGACATATGTCGGAAATGTCGAGGGGAAATATTGTAAAAATTAGAGACATTGTGGAAATATTACGAAACTACTGATGTTTATGTATAGTTGTGTATACTTGACAGAACCTTTTCTAAAAATTTTGCTTGGTTATCACCTTGCCTTAACAGGCCAAAACACCTAGGTGACATGTGGATGTCTTAACTACATTGCTTGTCATTTGACTTGGTTGCCATCCGTATGGTGGATAGATCATTCTCCATTTACAAGTGCTAGAAAGAATGGCAAAATAAAGTAAAAGAATGAAAATGTTATGCTAATACCTTTCTGTTATGTAGTTCTCAACTTTCGGGGCTTTGCCTTCTTTCTTTTTTGATGATAGAAAAACTCCATCTACCTAAAAGGAGATGAAACATGTAATATGACTGCTGTCTTAATATCTGTAACATGTTGTTTGACTTGGAAACATCCCTGTATTGGATGGATTTTTTACAGTACACTCCCTAAATGTAAAAGTATTATGCTTATAGATAATCAGGAGAAGGGAATTTCATGAATAAATTTTAAATTGAGAAAGGAATTTAATTGATGTGACCAATGTTGTAGTTTCTCACAATTTCTCTTTTGCTGTTTTGTGTTGCAGTTCAATAGGGGTACAAGTGCTATGCAACACTATGTGGCAACCAGACCGATGTTTATTGATGTAGAGATAATGAATGAGGACACTAGGTTGGTTCTTGGTGACCAGGGCTCACAAGTTAGTCCTAGTAATGTTGCTCGTGGGCTTTCTTCATTGTACAAAGAAATCACAGGTTTATATGATCTTTCATTATCTTCAAGCAGGGAGTTTCCTTTGATGGATTTGATATATCATGGTTATGTGCTTTGCAGATACTGTAAGAAAAGAAGCTGCCACGATAATGGCTGTATTCCCATCTCCTAATGAGGTCATGTCAATCCTGGTGCAGGTATACAGGGAAACCATTCTATGCTTTGTCCATGACTTTCATTACCAATGCATCCAGTTAGAATATATTTTTATGCACATATAACTATATTAGTTATTTTCTCTATTGTATCGAACATCCTATGGTTGCATACAGAGAGTTTTGGAGCAGCGAGTAACAGCTGTTTTGGACAAGCTTCTGGTGAAACCATCCCTTGTGAACTTGCCTCCTGTTGAACAGGGTGGTCTTTTATTAGTAAGTTGAGTTAATCTTGCCATGTTTGTCTCCTAAATCTGATGTCATTTTGAAGTTCCCATCAGACATTGACCATTATTATTGTTATGAATTTTGGTGAGGTTGCAGTATCTTAGAATGCTAGCTGTTGCATATGAGAAGACACAGGAACTTGCTAGAGATTTGCGAGCTGTAGGATGTGGTGACCTGGATGTTGAGGGTAATGTTATAAACATGTGTTACTTGATCCCTTTTATATTTTGAGAGTTGAACTTATTAAACAAAAAAGGTTTCCTATTTTTAAACCACGGATGAAACAAGTACAAGATAAACAATTAAGCACTATGTCTGTTGAGCCTAGAAGTAATCTACAATTCTACATATTGCCAATGAAGGATGTTATTGAGATTTGAGAAACACCAAGTCATTTCTTGTAGTATACATAAAAGTGGTTAGGACTTTGATATCGGGATTCGTGTAAATAACTACAACACAAGCATGCCCTAGGATGATATGTCAGATCTCATGTAGTAATATTGTTCCAGATCAGTGTAATACCCCTGGTTAACTTTACATCTCTATATAATCTTCCCTCATTAGCTTAAAAGTTGGAATTTCTAATAAATACCCAAAAAATGGTGCTCTACTTCTACTCAACGAGTGAGTTCAGTAATTAAAGTGCTTCAACCGTGTATGTTAATTGTATCTTGGCATCTATTTATCTGTAATGGTGATTTTTTTAATTGTTTGAAAGAATGAAATAGAAACACAACAATGTTGTGCCAAGCATCTATGAGCTTTTTTTACTAGAGTTTTTTTTTTTTTTTAAATAGATCTAGATTAATGTGTCCTAAAAGTCTATATATCCTCCTAAAGTTGGTGCCTTTTGTTGGGAAGTCTTCCATGGAAGCATTAATAATTTAATACCTGTGACTTGTTGCAAAAAAAGAGACCCAATTGGCTTTTATCTCCTAATTTGTGTATCATATGTAAATTGAATGGTGAGACTGCATACCACCTACTAATGTCCTGTTCATTTGTTTGCTATTTGGGAATGGTTTCTTGCTCTTTTTAGGTGTAGGTGGAATTCCCCTGTTAACTTGGATAAGTTGTTTGATGCATCTTTGGTTAGATGCCCAAAGAAAAGAGGTAGAATTAGGTGGAAATGTACAATGCCGTTAAAAAAAATTAGGTGGAAATGTACAAGAGCTGCAGTTGTGTAGACATTGTGGGAAGAAAGGAATGTCAGAATGTTTGAGGAGAAAGAAAGAAGCAGGGAGGCAATAACTGAAACCATTTCTCTAAGAGTAGCAGATTGGGTGAAGACAATGGAAGTGTTTTCATACTTTACAATGGATGGTTTCGTGGTTTACTTAGTAATTGGTTGCAGTTGTGGTTTCATCCTCTAAAAACCAAAAGTAAAAAGGGATTGGACATCTCTATGTAGAGGGTGGTTGAAGTTGGATTTTGATGGAAGTAGTGTGGGTAATCCTGGGGCATCTAGGATTGGGGGTGAAACAAGGGATGAGAATGGGAGCATACTTGCGATGTATTCAGGTTCAACAAGAGGAGATTCAGTAAGGGTAGAAATTATGGCAGCAGTTTTTTGGGTGCAGAAAGCTGAGGAATTGGGATCTAAAAGGTTGATCATTGAAGGTGACCTCAAAGTGATTATCAGCTGGGCTGGCTAATGAAGGACAGGAAGGCTGTTTGGACTTTGGAGCTTCAGAAATGAAATCAGACATTTTAAATGGTTTTCAAGAGATATGCAAATTGAAGTTCAATGGGAACAGAGATCAGCCAACACCCACTAGTTTGGTTAAACAGAGGGTTAATAAGCAACATTTATTTTGGGCTATTATGTAAAATGTTTATTGTAGGCTGAGATAGAAAGGGCTGCAAACATCTTTCTCATTGATTGTAATTACAACCTCTTGTTGTATTTGTTTTGATTAATGAATGAAATCACTTTCTTTGTTGCTGATGAAAAAAATCCAATGAATTGTTTAATGCATAATTTTTAAGTGAATTGTTGTAGTTCATTTAATAACAAAAACTCTACTGCTAAATTTTCAAGTTTATACTATTGAACAGCAAAGTATCTGTTACTTGGGCACCGACAGACTTGATTCACCATTGGATGGAATTTATTGCAGATGCTATCTTTTAAATGATTAATGTTGATCAAAGCTTTGATTGTTGTTATCAGTTTATGGAACTCTCATGGGTTTCTCATTTTATGTGCTAACAATAGCTGGCTTTGTTCTTTCAGCACTAACAGAGTCTCTATTTCCTGCACACAAAGATGAGTATCCTGAATACGAGCAGGCTTCCCTTAGGCAGCTCTACCAGGCGAAGGTTTTGAGCCAATTTTTATTTTGTTGAGCTTCAACTTCAGTTTGGCTTAAAAGATTTGGATCTAAATTTTTTTCTCGCTTCAGCCTGAATCAACATTTGTCTTGGCAGATGGAAGAACTACGTGCTGAAAGTCAGCAGCAATCAGAGTCAACTGGGACAATTGGACGCTCAAAAGGAGCTTCAATGTTATCTTCACATCAGCAGATATCGGTTGCTGTAGTAACAGAGTTTGTGCGGTGGAATGAAGAGGCAATTTCTAGATGTTCTTTGTTTTCTTCTCAGGTAAATTTGGTCCTTTGTTTCTGATTGCAGTCCTGGTAGAACTTTGGGTATTATAAGTTATAATTTATTTAACTAATGGGAAAAATGGGTTGCGTGACCATTTGTACATTACAAAAGAGGATGTATGATCCTACATAGTCTTTAACTTGTACATTACAAAGTAATCTCCAATATGATTTGCCAATGTATACAATATCATGTCATGGATCAAGAAAGAGCAGTCTGTATATGTGAAATCTTCACTTATGTTGTGCTTCAGTTGTTCTGGTCTTCATATTTGTTTCTATACATCAGATTCTTCTTGAAATCCAAGATGAAGATACCCCAACAAGAATGTTCTTTCTAATTGTAAGGACAAAATATTGTTTCCTTAAAGCTAAAATTTGATACTAGATAACTTTTAAATCACTGGTTGAAAATGTCTTCAGTTTTAGGCTGAGTTGTCTCTAGTGAATATATTGATATTTTAAACTGATTATAGTGGCTTTAGAAAAGCCCAAGAGGCTCCTTCTGCAGATGGAATTAGTGCCCGTTTGGGAGGGCTTTCGGGATGCACCTTCTGGCATTCTGAGTTGGGCCCCACATGGGAATGCCAGATACGTTTGGTGAATATCTGGAAAGTGTGCCACTGCCTTCCGGACACAAGAAATGTGACTGTATTGCGAAGCTACTCTAAGTAGCTTCTCCAGAACGCAAGTGCTCAACAACCATGGCTCTGGCATCACAACTCACCTCTAACGCAGAAGCCATACCAAACGGGCTCTTAGGGGCCTTTTGGTGCAGATCTGATGGTGACGTCTTATGGGCTTATTGTGGTCCTATTTCAGCAGCTGATGTGAAATCTCTAAGAGTGCCAAATCTCTGCCGATAAGATTCCTAGAAGTTGAAGGGGACTCTAAGAGTGCCATTAAGTGGGCCACAACCTATGATTCTAGCCCCTGGAAACTCTTCCACTTTTTTCTAGAAATCCAAGAGATATCATCTAGTATGAATTATTGCTTCAGATGAATCCCCAGAGAAATGAATCAGGTGGCAGATGTTTCCGCTAAATCTGGGTTAGGAAGGGATTTTCTTGTACAGTGCAAGTACAGTGCCTTATACTGAAGTGGGCTTTGCTTTTTGTTTATCAAGGCCTTTTGTACATCTTTCATGTACATCCTTCCCTTTTTGAATGAAATTTTGTTGTCCTTACTCAAAAAGTATATTGATATTTTTGTTTTTGGTTTAGTTTTGTGTTCTGATAGCTTAATGCTATTTCTTGAATATTTTTCTATTAAAGGGAATAATATTTTTTTTCTTGAATAATAAAAAATCTGTTCTTCCTAGTTGCCAAAGCATTTTTCGTGTACAAGTTCATCATTAATTCGACTGAATTCATTCTTTCTGTATTTGCTAAGTAAAGGAATGCTTTGTCCCTTCTTTTTTGGGTTAACAGTGCTTTATGCCTTCTTTTTTTTTTGATCCACAAGTGTAAATCAATTCATTAACTTAAAGAGGGAAGCATTACAATATGTTTCTGATACAAAAGAAAATTAAAAGAACCTTTCAATTTTACAGTCCCTATTACAGATCTGCCCATCCATCCCTTGTTTTGCCAGAAGATCTGCAGTCCCATTTTTTTTTTTTTGATCAGTAAAAATCTTTCATTAATAACAGAGAGGTTAAGATACAATAGCTAAAGATTGCATAGGAAATTGCAATCTCCAGCAATCAGTTACAATTCTGCCCAATACAATGAAGATCTATTTGCCCCTTGTTTTGCTTGGGTATCCGCGATTCCATTTGCATCCCTTTTAACCCAACGAAACTGAGAGTTGAACTTCCTCGCAAGTGTGTTAATTTCTCTGAAAATAAACTTGAGCTTCCAAGGTGCTGATGTGATGTTTTTGGCCCAAGAGATGACCAATAGAGAGTCTCCTTCAATTTCTAAGTCTGTTGTTCCTATCTGCTCAGCCATCTTTAGACCTTGAAGTAGGGCTAGAGACTCAGCCCGTATTGAGTCACCATAACCTATTGGTCCAGAGTAGAGTGCCACCACCACACCCAGATAATTTCTAAACACACCCCCTATGCCTGCCCTTCCAGGGTTGCCAAGAGARCTCCCATCAAAATTCAGTTTTAGTTTGTTCTGTGCTGGTGGCTTCCATTCCATGCTTACAAGAACTTTGGGTAAATCTATTTGTGCTATTTCAGCCCAATTCCTTA